AAATTTCTATAAATAGGTCTATCTTTTATAGGTGGTTTAGGCAGAGTATTCATAATGAATATAAGTTTCAAATGGACAGCAACTGCCTGTTGTAGAAACCTACAAATGTAGAGGATGACGTTTCAAAAATCTTCCGCCTTTCGTCTTCAGGCAAAAGACTTTTGAAACGTCGTCTTCTACATTTGTAGGTTTCTACAACAGGCAGTTGCTGTCCATTTGAAACTTAGATTCAAGTAGGTCTATATTTTATTGGATTAATCTTCATGATGTGTGTTTTAAATGATAAAATTACTATGTTCATTTCACTATTTACCAATCAGAGGGTCACAAGCATAAATTCTAGTAGATAGAATAGATGCACATTATCTCCAATGTCAACTTTATCTTCTCTAAGATGTGTTTGTTGTTTTTATTCATTGCTGTACAGAGATTTTATACATCCACTGGGGACTTGATTAAACAAAGCTTTGATTTAGTTATGCCTCATGGTCCTCCAGATTTTGGAATGATTGGATTTTGTTCTCTGAAGATTTTGGACATGTTGCTAAATTGCAATTTGATATTCCTGCTGGTAACTATTTTAAGCCATAATGCCATTAATATCTCTCAAAATTCAGCCAGCTTGGAGATTTAAATTAGGCTTAAAGCCATATACTATGCCAACAATAAAATTTGTAATAAGCCTCATAAGTGGGACTGGGTGTAGCCTGGTGTTTGATTGTCCAGACTGAATAGAAAGGTTCATGGCATATTGCTGCAAAAACAAGCTTCAAATATTGTGACTATCTTGTGCACCATAAAAGTAACAGTCAAATCCCATTATTTGTTTAGATAAGAATAACCCAAGAGTTGGCAGTGGATGCTGTTGACTAGCTGCCTTCCCTCTAATCTGTCACTTCAAAATTAGGATCAGTTATGTAAAGATAGCTGTTTGTGTAACTTTATGTAAAATTCTTAAAGAAAGACATCTTCAAAAGTGTAGTATAATAAAATAAAAATATTTCAAATGATAAGATTTAATGAAACTTACTATGAATAAAAATTAAATATGTTACAAAGCATACAAGTAGGCCAGTCATTTGTTATTAAGATTTACATGTAAATATAAAACAAGCATATGCATAACCTTAGCTTCTGCTGTCTATATGATCTTGATGAGCCAAACAGTTTTATTATTTTCCTCCGTTATGTTTTTGTTCTTGGTGAACATTTGAAATGTAATTTAATATGAATTAGGTTAACAAGAAAACTTGAGTTATACATAACTTTGTACAAGGGTTGTATCTATGTATTCCAATTTAGATATAGAGTTAACAATAATGCTTTGTATATTTTAATTTTTTAATTGATGTTAAGTACCATCCGTCATTCTATTCAAACATTTCATTTCAAAAATAACAAATTTAAGAAAGTCACAAAATGTAGCATAGCTGTTAGTTTTCACACATTACTGTATATACTTCACTAGTATTATATCAACAACCTTAGGTCAAATGCATATGAATGTAGGTACAAATATACAACACCTTACTCTTTAAAACCAAGATATTTTAAACAAGGCCTTGCTGACAATGTGAAACATCTTCTGAAAATTCTGCTGTAGTATATTGACAATTAAGTTTAATATAATTGTGGTGAACATTACATACAATAATGTGTTAGTCAGCAAAATCATCATATGTGAAGTTGTGCATTATATTAATTTATTAAACACTTGAACAAAGATATTAACATTCACTTCCAGTCACTATATACGAGTACAGAGCATATTCTGAAATATTCTGTTTTATAATTTAAAAGAAGGAGGGTAAGTAGTGTATCTACATCTATTTTCTGTTGAAGCTTTTAATATATAAAAATAATTAAATATTAAATCATTAAATTTCTTAACAGCAAAGCACCAAAGATTTAAAATTGAAACTTACAGCATCCCAAGTGATTAGATGATTTCATAGCAAGAATTAGTGTTCAAAGTGAATATATTGTGATTCTTGGACTTGTGTACTCTCACCTTTGCACCTCACCACTTTCTTGTCTGTGATAGGCTAGTTATTGTACACGTGTTCACCTGAATGCCTTGCGTGTTAATATGATTGTTGATAGATATGTCTCTTATATTTTATCTCTCTTTTGTACATGTAGGTGACTCTACCAACAGTGATAGTGTCCCAGATAATCATGATTGTGACTATGAACCTGCCTTGGAATTTGATGATACTGAATTAATTCAGGCAGCATCCTCAGGTAATGTTGTTTTTATGTAGTATTTGTTTTGATTGCTGAGTAGGTTTGATAGTTTTAAGATAAAACCTCCTAATAACATTTTAGTCTGAAATAAAATTCATCCATTTATTTATGTTTTTGGAACATTTCTGACTTTCCATATGTATGTTGTAATTGTGTATTCCATGGACTCTCAGTTTATGATAATTATTTATCAAGTATGATATTAAATGAGTGAACTTAAAGAAATCATAAAAAGTGTTTTTGTGTTTTTTGTCTTTATAAGTTCAGTACTTTATCCCAGTGTCAAGTATTGTTAGATAAAACTTCTTTTTTTTTTTCCTTTTACATAGAAACAGAAATGGATCAGGAAGTAGAAATGAACTGTGATGACAATTACCAGTACCTTGACTCACCGTTATCTGACAGACTGATGGATGAAAATTTTGAAGAAGCTTTAGCCAGTACAGCAAATGGATTACTAGATGATGATTATATAGATGATTTTTCAGACATTGCCAAATATGGGATTGTAGAAATTGCAGGTCTGTACTAACAATTCTAATTTTGCTTAGGATTAATGGTATGTATTACTAGTATATGTATATGAAAGGAGCAAAGATTTCAAGGACTTCCACTTAACTTTTCTGTATAACTGAGTCAATGTGCACATGATGACTTTTTACACTGTTATATTCAAAATTTAATTAAACAACTTTATTATCAATATGTGTCAATTAACTTGACATGAAAATATAGTTTATAATTAAAATTTTTTGTATTGTCTAAGTTTTTAGTTCCTAATTTCAAAAAGAAACATTTTTAAAAATCTCAAACTTAATTTTTCTGTGTAACATGACATGTCTAAGCTCCGGTTTCTTCATTTCTAAAATAGGCTGCTGCAGTTTCCAACTAATTAAAAATGCAAACTATACATAATTACAAACAAGAATATAAAATTTGAACCTCCTACCTTTTTTATTTGCTAAGATATCAATAAATTTATCAAACTGAACAGAGAAGCTCCTCCCCTCTCTCTCTTTGAATTTCGAGATTGTTTGCTAATCAACTTTATATGGCTGATGGACATCTTTATACCAATAGAAAGAGCAGATTCTCTTCTATATAAATCTTATTATTAAGTGTTTAGTTTTCCCACCATTATCCTTCATTTGACAGGAATTGCTTGATTTGTGTTGATTAAACTTGGTGTTCTGAACAGTTACAAAATTTATTGCTATATATAGCCTAATTAGAAAACCAGATAAATTATAGTAGTTTTGGAACATTTTTTTATAGTGCCTAATGTATTTTTTGTGTTATAAAATGCATATTTGAAAGTTACATGAATTTTTATTTTGGACACCCAAATTCGTGAAACTTCATAATGGTTTGTGGAGAAATTCAAATAATTTACTCAAGTGCAAACATCTGGAATAAATAATGAGTACTAGAAATCCTTGTTTTTTATGTATATTTTTAAACAAAAGTAACTAAGATGTAAAAATTATAAACTTTTCAGCTTTTCCTAACAAAACTTCAGTACTTTTTGTTGTAGTCACTTTTGCCAATGTGGGGGACTGTTTCTGAATAATCCTATCCATTTCTCCCATGTCCATTTTCTCACCTTCATCTTGCCCTTACAACTCTCCTGAAGTACTTTTCCAACATATACCTCCTTTCTAAGGCACTCCATTGATTCCCAATCTTCATCCTCCTTGGTGCTATTGTCCACTTTGGCCCTATCCCTTCACACATGTATCTGTTGCTGTTGGGATTGTATTGGAAAGGATGCTGTCTTTTCACAGGTTCATCTACCTTCCCCTTATCTGCATGACTTTTGGATAACTCCTTTTCTCCATTGTTTTTTTTTTTGAAATTTTCCAGAATCTTTCAAATCACGTGTGGACTCGTAGAGTCCACATTCGACACTTTAGTTTTTGGTTACCCATTTTTTCTCATTATGATATCATGACCTCTCCTATAACTGTTTTTTGTCCTGCAACTTCACATCCTTTACCAGTTCCTACCACTAGGGGGTTCAAATTTCATCAGTTAGATTTGTTGTTCCCAGCAATTCCAGTGACTTTCTGGTGGTTTTTGTCTGGTGGAGGCACATTTGGCCAATTTTGTTCACCTGTGGTGGTTTTTCCAACCAATTCTTGGGTGATCCAAGCTTTACGAGAAGGATTTTCATCCTTTTCCTTTCCACTCTACCTTTATCTCCTGTTTTCCGATTTTCTTCCCGTTAATTCTAACTTTATAAAAGCATACCCAAGTAGCCTCTCCAATGAGCATTCCAATCCTGACAATTTATTATGTCCTGTTAGGGCCCTCAAGTGTTATGTTAGCTTGTACTAACTTATTTTGAGGAAGTAAGAATCGATTGTTCATTCATTGGAAGCTTTCTTTTTCCCATGACTTGTCTTCTATAACCATAATGAGGTGGCTTCCTAATTGATTCACATGGCCTATAATGGATTATCATTACAGGAGAGAAATCTTTTGTGTGTTACATCTCACCAGATTTGTCATATCTCTATGTCAATAGCTGCCCAGTTGAATTGCCTCCTGGAAGACATTGTGCAGTCTGGTATGTGGACTACTCCTAATACTTTTCTATCTCATTAATTGCATAATCTGACAGTTTCCTCTTCTGAGGGATTTTGACTAACCCCTGTAGTTATTTTGACCAAATCTGTCAGATTTTAACAAGAGATAAGTATTTTCCTCAATCCTATACTATTTTTTTTTCCAGGACCCCTTTATTATTTCACTGGATCCCACTTTGTGGCGAGTGTTGCCCAGACAGATATGCTTTCTCTTTTCAATTCTGCTCTAGCAACCACTTTCACTATAATTACTTCAGGTTGCAACAGGCTCTGTCAAAATTGAGTGTTCCATAAGACCACCTAGGCACTTACTAGAAGGTATAATCTTATTACTATGGACTGCCACTCATAGACTGTCATGAGTAAAGCTAAAGGGGATCCTGATCGGGATCAGTTTGCTTTTAAAAATGTAGGGAACTTGGTTCACCTATTGCATAGTTTCCAGAGCACTGTTCCTAAGGGCCCCCCAATGCATATACCCCCCCCCAGACTGTACTAGTGGAGCTTTGGAGTTCTTATTACCCCAGTTTCAAGTCACTGGGGTGGTAGACAGAGGCTTTTCCTACAGAGTGTTCGAGTGTGTTCCTCCACTCTTGGAGAGGAGAGTCCCTGTATGTTTTTCCCAGTTGTCAGTAGGAGTCTACTCATAATACTGGTTCAGGTTTGACACAAAGCTATTCGGTTGGGGGGGGGGGGTGCATGGCCCTTCTCTTTGATCAGTGTCAGTTTCATGTATTGTTCATGGAAGGAGGTCCACTATCTCCTCATAATTCCAAATGTGATGTGGTCCCATTCTAGGTCTTTGGTTGAGCACAGATTTCACATCTTCTTTATAATTCCATGGGCTAGTGGAATATTCCCTGCCCATTTGGTTGGAGGGTGAGGATGAATATTCATAATTCCAGATGGGATGAGTTCTGTTCTTTTGTTTGAGTACGACATACACAATCTCATCATTCCGAGCATGGTGATTTGCCTTTGGACTTCTTCAGGGGGAGGAAAATTTTGTCCACTTTCTTGTTGTGATTCCAGTGGTGCAAAACACATCATTCTATAGCTACAGGTTGGGATCCAATCAAAAGTATATGTAACATTGCAGTCCAATAGCCCTAGCCACCAACATGGAATATAGGTACCACGACCTCTTAATTCCAACCTTGATTTGTGGAACTTTGGGTATCTGGTTGGGGCTAGGCTATACTGATGATTACTGTTATTCTATTCCACCTTTGATATAGGAACTGAGTTCCTGGTGAAGAGCATACCTGTTTTGGATGTAGTGTGGTTTTTCCCACTCTTGTACCATCTTTATCTTGGTACGCTTCCATTCTATACAGATGCTTTCTGTATGGTTCATGGCTGCACCGGCCCCTCTACCTTCTCAGTGTGGGATTCTAGCTATAGTGTTAGTGGAGGTAAGTATTATTGGAAATACATTTTCAGTTTAGGAAAATGTTAATTTCCAAAATATACTTACCTCTGCTGACACTCTCCTGCCCTACCTTCCCACTTAAAGCTGGTTTATGTCTCGAAAAAGCAATTACATTATCTGAATTAGGTGCTTGTATACAGTACCTATATAGAAGGTGCATTGAAGTTGGTGGAGAATTTTGCAAATTAGAATTTGCCAAGGCCATTCAAGTGGGGTATAAAACACTGGAGCAAGTGTTTTTAATGCTTAGATGGGCAAAGAATGGAAACCCTGAAGATTGAGAAATAGTTTTTGTGTCAGCGGAGGTAAGTATTATTGGAAATACATTTTCAATTTAGGAAAATGTTAACATATGTTATTTAATAAAGTTTAATAATTAACCCTTTTTTTTTATTGTAAAACTGTCTGTCTCGTACCATAACCACCCAACCGACTCAAAATATATTCCCTAACTTTCCTATATCGGACCTGGCTCCTAACTTTTTGGGCTGGCTTCTAGATCTGAAAATATTTGTCGAGACCTGGCCTAATCTCGAAGTGATAATTCAGTACAATCGAATAGAGGGAATCACATGCATTAGGAGGGTGTGTCGCACTCCTATTGGTGGAGTGTTGTCGCATGATGATTTGCATGTGAGACACAGTTGAATCACATTGATTGTGGGGTACATGAGAATTCAAGGCTTGTGGCATACAAAAAAAAATTTATATAGAGGGCAGCACTAAACGAAAATAGCTATACATGTGACAGGAGGTAAATACCTATCAGAAATATATTTTCATTATAGGAAAATAACTTTTGGAATTTCTGATCAATACTGCAGTTAGTACAGAGGTAAACGTGTGTGTGTGTGTGTGTTTTTATAGCAAAGCCACATCACGCTATCCGCTGTGTCCACCGAGGGGGAAACAAACCCCTGATTTTAGCATTGTAAATCTGAAGACTTATTGTTGTCCCACTGAGTGACCAGTACAGAGGGAAAAGGTGTTATTCATTTTATGTCGTATTTTTTCAATTTTTCATGTCATGCTGTATTGATAATTTCTTTACAGTCAGTGTTAAGGTAAAAGAAATGTGAGATAAAGTATAAAAGTTTTACTAAAAAACAAAACGTTGGCTATTGACTTAGAAGGTTCAATGGTTATGCAAATGAAATATGAAAAGTGTAAGATAAAGTGTTTTTATTCTTAGCATGAAAATCACCTTCCACTAAGACTGAGAACTTCACAGACAAATCTTTTGTAAAATACTTTATCAAAAAAATATGATTTTCTGTGAACAGCACACTTGTAACTTTTGCTAAAAGCTTGTCAAATTTCATGAAAATACACCTATTAAATTTGGTGTTAATAGTATGCATAGTCTTACAGTTCCAAAGCTGATCAAATCAATCAACTTATTTCTTATAGGGTTAATATCATGGGAAGTAAAAACTGAACAGATGTGTGTTTTTTTTTGTATTATTCATTAAGTCTGTTTAATAGTTATCAGTTTTATAGTTTCAACTATATAGGTTTTTTAGTGGAAAATCCAAAAGGCTGAAAGTATAATGAATCACTCTTATTTGTGTGTTAGGTGTGATGGTTTATCTGATCTATAAAAGTTATAAAAATAAAACTAGCCAGTTGCAAAGCTTACATTTTTTTTGTCACAAAATTTAACAGAATAGTGATGAAAATGAAAAGCCCACAGTGTGGATGGGTCATTTTTCAATCACTACTTAAAAACTAGTTTTGTACATTTTTAAGCAGACAGTAGAACTGGTCTGATGTTATTATCTAATGAAAATCAGTATATTTTACCAATGGATTTTATTTTTCACTGGTGCATAGGTATATATGGATAAGAGATTTCAATTATGCCCTAAAACATTACTTAGATATAGCAGAACTGTGTATAAACTCTTCTAGTTGTTGTTATGATGTCTTTCATCAATGTTGTTCAGTGAAGATTGGTGTTGTTTAATACATTATTTTTTTTATCAAGAGATCTGTTTGTGAATTAATTGTTGTTAAGATTGTGAAGTTTAAAGTTTTGCTGTGTGTGCATAAAACCATGAATTTTGTACATTTGAAATAAATTATAATGTAGTACAGTTATTGATTATTGAGATGTGAGATATGTAAAATATGAAGTGGTGGATAGTAGTAGTAGTGTTACTGGTAACTGTTTGCAAAAGCAAGAAACTTGTTGCTAGCTAGGATGAGTAGGCTAGCAGAACAGAAGGTTTTTATTATTTTCTGGATTAGGACTTATAAAAGCAGATGTATTTATACCTGTAAATCTGAAATAATATGTAATGTCCTGGCATTTTATCAATAACTTCTATATTCTTAGAATGTAATTAAAAGTTCAAAATGATCATGAAAATGGAATTTTCTACTAATTAGTAAAAGCTTTCTGTAAAGTAGAATGATAAACTTTTTCCTGTGAACATTGAGAATTATTGTTAAAATTTATCCCCAAATAAAATAGATTATGTGATCTGATAAGGAGATTCTTACTGCTGATAAAACTCTGACTTTCTATGTCCATGAAGTTTCAGGTTTAGTGTAATTAAGAATATACTTTTAGTTGAATTCCAACATGTCAAATAGTACTTTTGTAATACCTTAAAAAAGACCTGAATGAGAAGCACTGTTTTTTTTACTCCTCACTATTTTTTTTTTCCATTGAAGTGGATCACAAAAGTCCTCATTCAGTAGTGTGTACAGTTTGATACTTGTAAGTAATTAGATCAAACCTATGACCTTTAGCTGTAGGCAGTGGTTTATAATTAGGTCAAGTGCTGTTATATACTGGAGGATTTAAAATCTTCCACAAGAACACGAGTAGGTCACTTCACTTACAGTTTAAATTGTTCTTTTTGTTGTTAATCTTTTCTTGATAACTGTTAATGTATATGGTAAACTTGTACTGTAAATGTGCACTTTTATGTGTACTACAGCACCTACATGCAATGGCTTAAAGGTACTCATGTCATAACAACTTACAGAAAAATAATTACCTAGTAAGTTAAAACATAACAAACATGAACATTATGGCTTAAATTATTAACTTCTCATTATGAAATACCTTTTTCATTCACATTAAATAACAGATAAAAAGTGTGTCAGTAAAATATCTTTATTGTTTTGGGAGTGATATTATAAATTTATAGTGGTATAAATGTGTTAAACTTATTTTTTAAACATCCATTAAAGAGAAAATTTGCAATGATTATGGTCATAGAATTGGTCATTGAAAAAATGAAGAAACTGATCAGGATTTTACATCTGTTTACATCGAGGAAAGTAGTGGTCACTGTCTAGATAGTTCACTTGGTAATAGATGCACATTAATCTCTAAGACAGTCTTGCAATTGTTAAATGGTAAATATCTATGAGATCTATTAAAAGTATTATTATATGTTTTTTAATTGTAAACCTATGTATGTGAAATGTAAATCATTAAATAGCTCAAAAGTTTTACAAATCCGTCACGAACATGGATTTTCATAAGCAATAGTACTTGTACATGTGAGCTCTTAAAACTGTTTTGGATTTTTTAAAATATGTTGCTACTAGCTGAATGAGCACAGGGTCTGTCCAAGGAACTGACTTCTGTATTGAAGAAGGAATGTTGACTGTAATTCCACATTTACTTTGGCAAGCTTTTAGTAATATATACAAGTCTGTTTTACACAAAAAAAATCAAATGCATTTACAAAAGTATTTGTACTCAAGATATGTCTGTGAATTTCCAACATATTCTGACACGTTGTAGAGTAAAATGATGCCCATCTTAAGAATAAAATAATTTTGTTTATTGTACAGTTTGCACACTGAAGTTGCATAACTGGTAGAATATCTGAAATGTATATCTACAGTTTTTTCAGTATCTCTGGTATTTACTTTCCTCTACCATGAACTGCTGCATAATCAGCAATGTAGCGTAAAATGAATAGTTGATAACTATAACATCAGATACATAATACCATTTTGAATGACTTTCTATAAAAGATAGTGGCATTTGCACTTTGATCCCCATCCAAACACGTAGGGTTAATTTAAAATATTTTTCAGTTATGATGGATATTAATATGAAACTACTTTTTTAGCTGGTTTATTGCCTAACTGGCACTCTGGCAGGTATTAATCAATATGATACATTAAGGTTTATCTATTTACAAGTATTTTGTAATTTTAATTTCCTCATTTACAGTTTTATGTTGGTAAACTGTTGAACTACATGCATTACACTTCTGTCTGTGGTTAATCCACTAGATCATGTGAGTTATTAAGTTTATCCTAAATGTTTTACTAGGGTAAGGTGGTGCATCAGGGGAGCATAAAATTTTCTTTACATTACCATTAACAGCAGAGATACATCAGTGTTGTATAAGAACCAATAACAAAAGTGCAAATATACAATTTTTGTTTTATATTTAACTTAAAAATATATTTTGTATAAAAAAATTAATATTGATTCATGTCTTTAGAATACAACAAGAAAAAAAAACAATCTGACATAAGTTTTTAAATACATTTTGTCCTTCTGATTCTCGCATATTAAATCGTCTCTGATAATAAAAAATTATAATGTCAGGTATATCAAATTTTGATTAATAAATGATCAGTGTTTTATCTGATATTTGGTTTCAGGTGATGACTCCTATGGAAGGAAAGTGATAGTCATTTCTGCTTGTAAGATACCTTCGAACAAAGAACTTAATCATGCCAAATTTCTCAGGTGTGTACATATATGCCCCCTTTCAACAAATAACTTAATTATACTAAGTTTTTCAGGTAGGTACAGATATGCTATCTTTCAACAAAGAACTTTATCGTACTAAATTTCCCAGCTATATGTAAGTATACTGCTTTTCAGTAAATAAGTTATTCTATCATTTTTACAGGTAGATAATGGTAAGCTATCTACCAACAAGGAATTCATTGGTGCACAAGTTATTTATGTATGAAGATGTATTTCAGTAAAGTAATCAATCGTGTGAATTTGCAGGTTGATAGAAGACTAAATATGCTTTTGAAAAAAAGAACTTAATCAAGCCCAAGTTTTTCATCAAAGTATAGTTATGCCACTATCACAATAAAAGTAAGCAATTTTCAAACAGTGAACTTTGTCATCCCAAGCTTTTCACCTAAACACGTATAAATAGACCTAATATAACTTAATTTTGTCTAGTTTATTTTGGAAGGTAATAGATAAGCTATTTTCCAACATGAAACTTAGATATTTCATGTTCGTAACTAAGTAAGTTATTTTCTAAGATTAAGCATGCCAAGTTTTGCAGGTAGGTTAAAAAAATACAGATAAGACACTTAGAAGAGACTTCATCATGATTTTTTTTTCACGTACATTTAAGTTAACAGATATACCTTCATTTATGTATATTTCATGGTTTTATGTTTCTTCAGAGACAAGACAGACAAGCTTTTTACAAATAAGTTTAAAACTTCTGTTAAATGTCAGATCACTAATGTCATTCACTACCAGTGGGATCCACCATTTGGATCTTATTCAATAATTTTATCTTTTTACATGTACACTAAATTGTAAAGAACTGATGAAAAAATATCAGTGAAATGGCTCATTATCTGTATAAAAAAACACACTGGGGAGCCTGAGCGGTATCTACTAGGATTAATTGCAATGTTAATGGTATTTTTGTTATTGTCATATATCCACAAGCAATTTGGTATATACATATTTTATAAAAATATGTTTGAATAGCTGTTGTCAGTCCATATTGATTCTATTTGCCATTTCTAGGGTTAAGGTTTTATAGTAAGTTATTATTTATATATGAGATGCAAGTATATTTTACTTGCTATAAAGTAAATTTTAAACATTCTAAAAGTGATTTTATGTTCATAAGTTAATAAGTAATCCTATCTATTATTTAGTTGATGTTTGAGTGGTTAAAATTTAAAGAAAAGCTAAAAATAAGTTTGAAGAAGAAAATGTCATGTAAAAAATTTCTTTAGAATTGTATGTGAATATATACTCTGTAATATGAATTTTAAGTGATTCTTGGTAAAAAGTATACTAATTCTTTATTCTCCTTAGTGACATACTGTAGATAAATGAATGTATGATAGTTGCAATTATCATTGTTTCAAAAACACTTTTTTTACAACTTTTGAAAGTTTGCCTCTGGAGTTGAAAATACTCTAAGTTTGTTTGTTGTTGTTGTTTTTTTTTGGGGGGGGGGGGTATTTTATTTAATAAGTAGCCACCCATGATTCAGCAGTATGTATGAGAGTGTATAATGATAAAAATCAGGTTTTGATACCTACAGTAAGTACAGCCTATTATTACCCATTGTGTACTTTGTGCTTAATACCAAAAAACAAATCTTTAATGGGAGTATTTGCCAATTGTAACAACAGGGTTACATGATTCTTAAAAGGGAAAAGGATATAAGATGATTGATTGTGTGCATTATACATGTGATATAAAACAGTGTACAGCATCAAACAGAATGGGACTGTTTTTTTTTGTTAATTGCTGCTAGATCTTTATAATTTTTCAGTCTGTTGATTTTTGTAAAGATAGCATGAAAATTATTTTGTGAAGTTCAGGAAGTGTTGCTCGAAGCAAATCTCCGGTGTGTATGTGATCTATAATTTAGTTATATTCCATTCTTTTTTAATATTGCATTCATTCATTTACTATTGGTTAGAATGTTTTATATATCTATTTTTATTTTAAGCTTCAGTGGGGATACGAAGTAAAGAAACAATGCATTCTAATCATTGTAAGTAAGAACAATGTATTAACTTAGCTACATTCATTACTGAGTTGTTTTTAATCCTCATATATGTAGGTAGCTTGCTTTCATCAGTGGTTAATATTAATTTAAAGTTAAAAGACATTTTAATGTGTATTCAACTTCATTATTAAAGTACAACATTTTGATCTACTTAGATACGAATGTTTGACAGCAAGTTCTAGTATCACTTTAAACTCTATTTTGGATAGACTATTAACATCATTGTCATTCTACAATAGTTTGGATAGGCATGTGGTATTAGTTCTGTCCAAATAGATATTTGTAAATAAAGATGTGATGTCAAAACTAGCCATAAAATGCTTTTCAAAGGGGATAGCTGACTTAGTTCAGGAGCAAAACTGAAGACATCAGGGATAGTGAAGTTTTTAGTTGTGAGAGGTCATATGATAGGTACAAGACATTTAGTGAGTGGTTTTGGATGCCAATGGCAGAAAGAATAGGTTGTAGGGTGAACATTTTCTTTGTTAACTTTTGGGAGTCTATAAAATGCCAGGCTAGCATCCTGTTGTATATAACGTGTTCAAAACACTGTCTGAGATCATCCTTTCACATTTTATATCTTTGACAAAATTATTTACATTGTTTCTTCACACTGAATTGTGACAGATAAGTGATTCTTGTTCAGTATTTTAAGTTTAGTTTTGTATAATATTATTTATTCTTTTAGAATAGTCAGTTTTGTTGAGAATAACAATTCCAAAGAGTTCCATTTCTTTTATCAGGGCGAGTGATGATGATATTTTCATATATTTTTTATGGTTCTTTCAGTGCAGAAAGTTCTTCAGATTTTAGTGGAAGAGATGATCTATATATATTGTAGTGTAGTTGTAGAAAGTAGAGAGACCTAATTATCTTATATTAGCAGGTATAAACTCACAGATATGATCACAGTTATTTTTAGTGGAAATTATCAGTGATTTTAATCTATGGTAAAACAGTTCAAAAGGATAGAGGAAAGCAGAGTTTAGCTTATAGAGTGGAATGGAAAAAGTAAGACTTTTAGGCAAGGCATATATACATTGGTCAGATAAAATAATGTTACTTAAGTTGAATATTAAATGGTTAGGGTCAAGACAAGTTATGTTCAATCTGAGCAATTTTGTTATCATTGCTTGAATTCAGAAGATATTTAAATTGTATAAAGTTACACCATGAGATGTTCTTGTGGAGGTCCCCTAGGTGACTGTTAAGTTTTTCTGGTTGTCATTTCCTTTGAAATTTCACTCAAAGTTCTACACCTAGTAAGCACTTGACAGTTAATAAGTAGCTGAATCTTGAAGATTGCTATTGGCAAGTTTGAAACAAAGAAACGTAGGGATAATGTTGTGATGTTTATATGCTTTTAATAGCTGGTTGTTTGTCTTATTTTTTGGTTTTTAAGTCCCATTTTTCACAAGCACAGTAGGTATGAAAAGCTCTTTTTCTGTATCATCACAGTAAAACAGTAATTTTGAGTATGAATGAAAAACTGCCAAAGTAATGTAAAACACATTTTAAGGTTTTGACCTTCCTACATAGATCATCATCAGGTATAAAATAATGATTCTTTAATTCACTAAGGTTTGTAACAAAAGATCATTCTGATCATGAGATATAACAATAGTGGGATTAACATGCAGTATTATTATATGCTTAACAACAGTGTTGAGGTAAATAAAAATGGGGATTTATCAACACTAGTAAAGTTTTTTATTCATTGAAAACAGATTAAGATAACCATATCAAAAGAAAGAAAACTATTCATTTTTATACAACATATAATATTTATATACAATGCAAAGATATAAACAATTACAGGGCTAAAATAAATATAACTCAAAAGCTTTCCATTACATTAGTCAATTAATTTAAAGTTTTCTTAAAATAAGTGAAAATTTTTAGATAAGATGAGATTTGAACTACATTGTAATTATTACTTATTTTAGTGTAAATAAAATAAATAATATTTGTTGAGGAATTGAGTATTTCATTCTGTAGTAGTTTTTTACCAATAAACTTTTTATAAATATACTTTTACACTCATTTTGAAAGAATTCAAAGCTTACCAGCGTCATTGTTAATGCTTTGATTTTGGAAGTTGTAATGTGATACCTATTATCTAAGTTTGGGTAACAAAGCATACAGTATACTAGTTTAAAACTGAAGTTCCAAACAGTACCAGCATTCATCAGACCAGTTTGTTCAATCACAGAGAATGCTTTTAAAATCAATGTATGTCTTTATGTGGGGAGGTACATGTAATATATATAGAGAGAGAGAGAGATTTGGTTTATTTTTGTTTATAGGTTCTGTCATCCATGTATCATTAAAATTTGCTGAGCTGAAAGATGAAGAAAGCCAATACCTTAAATTCAAAATTATATCTCCAACAATCTTTTGGTGATGGGAAAAAAAGCTTAAACATGAACATTTAAAGAACTTTTTCAGAAATATCTTCCAGTCTAAAGGCTTATAAAGTATAAAGTCCCATTGATTAATATTTTAATTCACTGCCCTCTTAACTGCATTTTAATCTCATAATCAAAACACAACTTCTTTGAAACATACACTTAGCAACTTGATGACCATTATATTTCCAATAAAATTAATTCTCAAGTGGAAAAAAAAGATAAAAATCTCACCAGTTTCAGATTGTCAATAGAGAACTGTTATTGTATAAATACATTTAATGATGAAATTTTGTTTCAATTAGCTATTATTAAGTTTAAATTATTTAGTGAAAGTTGTGGTGTTCTGTGTATACTTTAAAACATGCTGTAATAATTTGAAATAATATGGTTGAGTTTAGTATATATTGGATACACGTGTGTTGGACATTCTTTTAAAAGAACTTAATTCTATGGTGTTTTTCACAGGTACCTCATGTACACACTAGACCAGTTTGTGGAAAATGACTATACACTTGTTTATTTCCATTATGGTCTCAATAGAAAAAATAAGCCTTCTCTTGGCTGGCTGTGGTCTGCTTATAAAGCATTTGATAGAAAGTAAGTTTCATCTGATTTAAAATTTTTTTACACCAAATATTTTATGTTATCACTAAAGAAAGCATTATATCAGTACATATAATAAAAAGCATTTTTATAAAACCCACTAGTATCTGAAGACAATGTATGCTTGTCTTTTTATGCTTTTGTTCCTATCTTAGTAACATTGGAGATTTTTATAATAAATAATAATGATTAGTTCTGTGAGTTTGATGAGGCCTGTTAATGCTAAAAATGTACATATGTGATTTTAAAACATTTAACACTTTTGAAATATGCATGGATAAAAAAAACTTTTAACCATAGCTATTGAACAAAATGTAAATGTTGTAATCTGTGTTACTCGTAATAAAAACTTGATTTCTAATCTCAGAATATACAGCATATAAAGCCTCAAAATGTAAGTGAATTGTGACATTTGAATCATTATGAAAGACTTTTTCCACATATTTAAATTTATGCTGATTTTTTAAATGAGAATTTATTATACTCATGAACTTAAAACTTTATTTTAATGTAATATCTAGAAACTTTAAACTGCATAAAGTCACTTTGTAATATCTAAAGAAGAGGAAAATTATTATTTTTTATTTTACTTTTCAGTGCATTGTATTTATTACTCTGCATTTGATCAAAAGATAATTTTCTTACTTCAAAGGGGAAAGTTTCTAACATTTTAATTTGGGGCCAAATATCAGCCTTGAACAAACATATGTACCTATTGTGTAATTAATCCAATCTTAATATATACATCTTCGATTAAACTAAAAATTTTCACAATGGAATTAACTTGTACATTTTCATTGAGTAATTAAAAGTAACAACATAAACTTTGTCATAACTTTAAAATATGTAAATTTAATTTGTGCTCATGTGAAATTTACTTTGAGGTAATTCTCATTTATATGTATATGTATTTAATGTATAACTAAAGAAATTTAAAATCTTCAGTGTTCTAGAAATTATGTACATATTTATGGTGTAATAATTAGAAACTGAATACATGGACTTGTAGGGTATTTGTGTACTTGTCTAATCTAAAGCAGCTTCTAAAGCTTTTGTATACATTTTAGGTATAAAAAGAATCTTAAAGCATTGTATCTAGTCCATCCCACTACCTTCATTAGGGTAGTATGGCAGATTTTCCGACCTGCTATTAGGTAGGTTTATGTGTATTTATACAAACAGATTGTCTTTAGTACATATGATTAAACTTTATACATGCTTTTTTCTTTTTCTCCATTCTTTGCCAGTTATCTTGAAATGTTAAGAGAAGTTGATGTCATGTTGTAGAAATGTGGATAGGTTTTTCAAGACAAGAATTAAAGAGATACAGTACATGTCCCAATATAAATTAATCTTTGCTATGTGAGAAGATATAAAAACCACTTTGCCTTAATGCGTTATTCTTAACGTGCCCTATTTTAGACTTCTAGTCAAAATGACCATGCCCTGTTTTAAGTTTATAGTAAAAATGTCCATCCATGCTAATGATCCAGGACAGTCATTGTTTTAGTAACATTTTTGGCAAAAACAGGATTTATTGTGTCAAGTTTCTTATAAATAAAACTTAGACATTTAACAGTCAGTCGTTATGGGAAGAAAGTTGAAAGAATTGAAGAAATCAGTTGAAAAACATATGTTTGAATGTTTTGGTATTGTAATAAATTCTGTACATATTATATTCTTATATAAAGCTATGAACAAATATGTTTAAGCTGAATTCCTAGTTATCTGTTTCGATTCTTAATTTAGTTTTTTTAAATATTATCTCTACTTTTTAGAAGTTTAAGGAGCAAATTTAACTAGGTTAGTATTATAAATATTGCAGGTTGTAAAATAATTCTATTTGAAATCATTATGAATAGTAGTAAATATGTACCTTATTTCACAGTGTCAAGTTTGGAAGGAAAATGATGTATGTCAATTATCTTGATGAGCTTAAAAAATACCTTCATTTTGAACAGTTGGCCATTCCGAAAGTTGTTATAGAGTAAGTATATGCATGTGCTTATAAACCATATATTTGTGATATTAATAAGTAATTGCAGGATATGTTATTCCAAAATATACTTACCTCCACTGACACTGAAGCTATTTCTTGATCTCCAGGGTTTCCACTCTTTGCCTATCTGAGCATTGAAAGCACTTGTTGCAATCTTTTTATACCCCACTCGAATGCCCTTGGCAAATTCTAATTTGCAAAATTCTCCACCAACTTCAATGTGCCCTCTATCAGGCACCCTATATAAGCACCTCATTCATGTAATGTAATCACTTTTTTCTTGACAAAGCATTAGGCACGGGTTTCTATAAACAGGAGTGCTGTAATTATTCACAATTTACGTTAAACGTGGTTTGTGTTACTACGGTTATATCTTCGTATATTTATTAATTTTTTTAATAATAATAAAAAATAATGTACCCACAGTATTAATTTCTGAGTTAATGTTTCTACTGTGGAGGCTATTCAGACCTCTTTTTCTTCCACCTCTGTTATCTGGTGTTTGTCAGTGGCCGGGGGAGGGGTCATTTTCAGTCGAGGCTGTTCGTGATATGATCAGTTGCAAGATGGACATGTATATGCAGACCACGGTTGTCTCGTCAGGGGTTCTGAGATGCCTTTTACAAATGACCCAAACCAGAATTTAGACTTTTTTTTTTTTTTTTTTTCAGGCTCTTTC